AGCCAATTCCTCTTGTTCCCTGTAATTTGCCTCCTTGTGCTCCCTTTCATGGGATGGTGTCCCACTCTGATAGGAGGTTTTCTCTGACAGCCTGGGATCAGAAAGGAATTTCTAGATACAATCTCCGTGCCTTTGGTAAAAGGCAGTGCTGAGCGTCCTTGGCATTTAACCTCACCTCCCCGGCCAGCTGTCTGTAGTGCTTACACTCTCCAGAGGTTTCCCTTCTGAGGATTAGAGCTGCAGCTGCAAATCCCCAGAGTTTATTCTCCCTCTGCATTTAAACCCTCTCAGCTGCTGCCTGTCTGGGTCATTTCCAGCGTGAGATCCGGCTCACCACCCCCAAACAAAACTGATTTTAAGGACCATAGCAGCCTTTACTGCTTCCCATGATGAGGTGCTAGGAATTCCTGCACCCACATTTCCCAGCAGGGCGGGGCTGCCACACCAGCACCAATGTCAGAGCATTTCCCTGGTCCCCCAGGGCAGGTTTAGTTTGGATATGAAGGAAAATTCCTTCCCTGAGAAGTCCAGGCCAGGACGTGTGTTGGTGTTCACAGGGGTCTTGGGATGAGGGAAGAGATGGAGATCTGACTTTATATTTCAGAAAGCTTGATTTATCATTTTATGATATATATTATATTAAAACTATACTAAAAGAATAGAAGAAATTATTTCATCAGAAGGCTGGCTAAGCTAAGAATAGAAAGAATGATAACAAAGGTTTGTGGCTCGGGCTCTCTGTCCAAGCCAGCTGACTGTGATTGGCCATTAATTAGAAACAATCACTTGAGACCAATCCCAGATGCACCTGTTGCATTCCACAGCAGCAGATAACCATTGTCTGCATTTTGTTCCTGAGGCCTCCCAGCTTCTCAGGAGGAAAAATCCTAAGGAAAAGATTTTCCATAAAAGATGTCTGCGACAGAAGTCTATCAGGAGCTTGGTGCATTTAGAGCTGGGCAGAAATCCCCGGTTCTCCGGGTGTGTTTGACAGCCAGGGATGCTGTGCCAGTATCCCCATGCCCAGAACATTCCTGGTTTTCAGTTTTTGAACCCAGCCTGACCTAAAGCTCTGCTCTAAAGCAGCGAGCTGGGTTTGGCCATGCGGGGTTTGGCTGGTCTGGTTTGGCTCTTCTGGGTTTGGCCGTGCTGGGTTTGGCTGTTCTGGTTTGGCCATGCTGGGTTTGGCCGTGCTGGGTTTGGCCGTGATGGGTTTGGCTGTTCTGGGTTTGGCTGTTCTGGTTTGGCTGTTCTGGGTTTGGCTGTGCTGGGTTTGGCCGTGCTGGGTTTGGCTGTGCTGGGTTTGGCTGTTCTGGTTTGGCCATGCTGGGTTTGGCCGTGCTGGGTTTGGCCGTGCTGGGTTTGGCCGTGCTGGGTTTGGCCGTGCTGGGTTCGGCTGTGCTGGGTTTGGCTGTTCTGGTTTGGCTGTTCTGGCTTTGGCTGTGCTGGGTTTGGCTGTGCTGGGTTTGGCCATGATGGGTTTGGCTGTTCTGGGTTTGGCTGTTCTGGTTTGGCTGTTCTGGGTTTTGCCGTGCTGGGTTTGGCTGTTCTGGGTTTGGCCGCTCTGGGTTTGGCTGTTCTGGGTTTGGCCGCTCTGGGTTTGGCTGTTCTGGGTTTGGCTGTTCTGGTTTGGCTGTTCTGGCTTTGGCCGTGCTGGGTTTGGCTGTTCTGGTTTGGCCGTGCTGGGTTTGGCTGGTCTGGTTTGGCTGTTCTGGGTTTGGCTGTGCTGCGTTTGGCTGTGCTGGTTTGGCTGTTCTGGGTTTGGCCGTGCTGGCTTTGGCCGTGCTGGGTTTGGCCGTGCTGGGTTTGGCTGTTCTGGGTTTGGCCGTGCTGGGTTTGGCTGTTCTGGGTTTGGCTGTTCTGGGTTTGGCCGTGCTGGGTTTGGCTGTGCTGGTTTGGCCGGGCTGGGTTTGGCTGTTCTGGTTTGGCTGTTCTGGTTTGGCCATGCTGGGTTTGGCCGTGCTGGGTTTGGCTGTCCTGGGTTTGGCTGTGCTGGGTTTGGCCGTTCTGAGTTTGGCCGTGCTGGGTTTGGTTGTTCTGGGTTTGGCCGTGCTGGGTTTGCTATGCTGGGTTTGGCTGTGCTGGGTTTGGCTGTTCTGGTTTGGCCATGCTGGGTTTGCTATGCTGGGTTTGGCTGTGCTGGGTTTGGCTGTGCTGGGTTTGGCCGTGCTGGGTTTGGNAGCCACAGGAATGGCACACAAACTCCTGGGTTTCCATTAGACTTGCAGATTCCTCTTCCACAAGCACCCCTGGAAATCTGAGCAGTGCTGGCACCGTAGGATGGGGTCCCAGGAAAGCGCAGTGCAGCCAGTGCCACTCTTGCCCACGCATCCCTGCCTCCCCGCGCTCCCGAGGAGTCATTAACAAATTTTAATTTGAATGAACCAGCCTAGCGTGCTCCTGCAGAACCAGCTGGTTTTGTTTTCTCTCCATAGACCTGAACATTTTCATGAATAAAGATTTGCAAAGAGTTTCAGGACTTGAAACTAGAAATAGATCCGTCTCTCCAATGCCTTGATCTAATAATGTGTTTAAAAATGAGATTTTTTTGCAAGAATAATACACGAAATCACCGCCCTCGCTTCCAGCCTCAGTGCTGGCAGGAATCTGACTTTATGCTACCTTAAGCACCTATAATTAAGTCTAGATCTGATGTTTCCCGGGGAGACACGATCCCAGCACAACCCCTGCTGGTTTGGGTAGGGTATTTGCTTTTTAATGAAATATTGTACTGACTGAGTGTGTTAATGTGCCTGATTGTTGGAAAGAATGGTGTTCATCTGCAGCAAGAGGACCTTTCCCAGGAAGCCACAGTCATGAGGATGACTCCTAAATTCCCAAGAAAAAGATGCTGTTAACCTAAGGTAGCCAGAAAAATAACTTTTGTAATCATTGCACAACACATTTGAGCCAGTTTGAGAAATATCCATGAGGAGCAGGCTGTAATTGCTCAGAACATGAAGGTCTGGGTGAAGTTAAGGACCACCAAATCAAATTATTGTCACACTTTTAAAACAGCCATTAAAATACAAAATCAATGAAATCTTGATGGGTTTTTGCTTTCTCTGAGTCTCTTGTTGGACCCCAATTCCTGTTTCTCCTGCTGAAGGCAGGGTTGGTCTGTGCAGGGGCACAGCCTCCTTTCCCAGGGGAGCATTTTGGGGTGGGAGCATTTGGTGAGTTTCCCTTTTCCCTGGTGTTGAGTTTTCCTTTTTCCTCGTGCTGAGTTTCTCTTTTCCTCATGTTGAATTTCCCTTTTTCCTCGTGCTGAGTTTCTCTTTTCCTCATGTTGAATTTCCCTTTTTCCTCATGTTGAGTTTCCCTTTTTCCTCATGTTGAGTTTCCCTTTTCCTCATGTTGAATTTCCCTTTTTCCCTGTGTTTTTTCCCTTTTACCTCATGCTGAGTTGCCCTTTTCCCCTCGTGTTGAATTTTCCTTTTCCCTCGTGTTGACTTTCCCTTTTCCCTGTGCTGAGTTTCCCTTTTCCCCTCATGTTGAATTTTCCTTTTTCCCCTCATGTTGAGTTTCCTTTTCCCCTTGTGTGGAATTTTCCTTTTTCCCTCACATTGAGTTTCCCTTTTCCCCTCATGTGGAATTTTCCTTTTTCCCTCACATTGAGTTTCCCTATTTCCCTGTGTTGTTTCCCTTTTTCCCTCACATTGAGTTTCCCTTTTTCCCTGTGTTGTTTCCCTTTTTTCCTCATGCCGAATTTCCCTTTTTCCCTCATGCTGACTGATGTGGGATATCAGGGACAGACCCATCTGTCCACAGAACTTCCACTGCTCCTGAACAGGGGTGGGAAACCTGAAACCCTTTTCATGCTGAAGGAGTCACCAACTTCATGGATTTTAATGCCAATTAAAAGTGTAACACAGCTCAAATTCCATTTCACTTTTAAGACGTGCTTTGGGTTCATCAGCACCCACGGTGTGTTTGTCAAGGTGCTGAATAATTGGCTTTAAGGTTGGAAACATTCATCTGCATTAGCACAAGTTTAGCAGCTGGCTAAAGAAACTTCATAACTTTTTATTTGGGGAAATATTTGTCTGCTATTTCTCTTGGACTGGTGTTTGCACAGTATTAACCTGAAAAGCAATTTTAGGTGGAAAAAAACCCCTCAAAATTGGCCAGGAGCTGGTGTGTGCTCAGCCATTCCCTGCACATCCCTGCTTGTCAACTCGCTCTCATTTTTTTTCATTAGTTTCTTGTTATAGTCAAGATATGGTCAATGATCTTTTGAGCTTGGTAATTTTGTTAAACCTTTTTTATGAGCAGTATTGAATTGCTGCATTGAGATGGGAGCTTGCTTCCGTGCAAGATTAATTGGGACCGGTATTTCATTTTGCATAGAGCTATTCAAAGCTAATAAAAGGGCCCAGAATAATGAATTCTAAAGTCAAATTATAATGAAAAGCCACAGGTGATTGTTTCATTAGGCTGGATGCAGGAGAACTGTGTCTTCTCTTAACTTTGCCTGTTTGTATTGGTTGCCCTGGGGGAAGTAAACAACTTCCAAATGGGTTTGATGTTTCTGAGAAATGTTCTCTTCTGGAAAGACTTCAATAATTAAAAAGATGTGCCTTCTTAAAAGTTCACCCAAGCACAAAACTATTGCCTTAAAACATTCTTTGTTCAAAACTGTTACCTTGACTGATACCCACGGGAGGAGATTGCCTCCACTGGAGCGAGCACAGCCCTTCCCTCAGCCAGGTGTCAGCGGCTCCCTGGAGGATGCTCTGGAGCTGGAGGGCCCAGAGCAGCCAGCCTGGCCCGGTGGGAGCGTGCTGGTGCTGGTGGTGTGCTCAGACGTGGGTGAGAGCAGTGCTGGCTGCAGCTCCAGCACAGAGCTCTGTCCAGCCCCGCGCCAGGTTAAACTGTGCTGTCTCTTGCATGACTGTTTGCTGTCTCATTCTGTACTTGTCTTCCATGTGTGATTAACTCCCAAATGTTCTCTTTTTTTTTTTTTTTTTTTTCTTTTTTTTCCTTTTCCCTTTTTGTAGAAATTATTGAGCCTACTACCTCTAGTCGTGTGTCAAGCCCAGGTCAGTATCCCCCCAGGAGGGTCGGTGCCCCATTGCCCTCGGTGCCCGGGGCTGGCCCGGGCTGCTGTGTCGTGGTAGTGCTGGGCTGTCCCTGTCGTTGTGCTTCCCTTGGTGTGTCTCCCCGCAGCCTGTGTGTCTTGTCCTCTTTCTCCCCATTTGGAGCAGCTCTGCCCATCGCTGTCCCTGCCATGGTGTGTCCCGGTGGGGCTGTGCAGGGCACTGCTCCGTGTGGGCAATTCCCTGCTCTGGAACCCCCTCGCCCCCGAGTCCTTGCTGGTGTTGTGGCCAATGTGGATGTTGGTTTGAGGATGTGCAGATTTCTCGCTGTCTCGTCTCTGACTGACCGTGGGACGGAGCCAGGAGCTGTTGGGAGGTGTTTGCACTGCCAGTGCCAGGAGGGGATGGTGGGAGCTGAATCCCTCTGTGTGCCTGGAGGGTGTTCACAGCTCCTGAGGGCTCCTGTGCATCCCTGTTCTTTCCTGTTGCTGCAGGACACCCTCAGTGGAGCTGGTCACAGAATTCTGGAATGGTTTGGGTTGGGAGGGACCTCAAATCCCACCCAGTGCCACCCCTGCCATGGCACGGACACCTCCCACTGTCCCAGGTGCTCCAGCCCAGCCTTGGGCACTGCCACAGCTGCTCTGGGCACCTGTGCCAGGGCCTGCCCACCCTCACAGGGAACAATTCCTTCCCAATATCCCATCTGGGAGACAAAAACAAGCAGAATTTTCCTCTGGCAAAACCTTCACCAGATGTGCGCTTTTATTTCCTTACTGAGATTAGAAGATTGGGAGGACTGTGCCAGAAAGCCACAGCAGTGAGGTGATTAAACCGAGTGGGGCAGGTTAAACCAAGGGCTGTAGAAGGAAAGGCAGGCACGGGTGATTCCAGCACCCCCAGACCTTCAGGAGCAGCAAGACAAGTGTTTAAATCTGCAGAGCTTTAATTAAAGAGCTGAGGGAGGGCAGGCTCTGGTGTCACTCAGGGGCAGAGGTGCTGCCCCCCTGCCCTCCCTGGGCCCCAGGGAGCTTCCCAAAGCTCTCCATCCCCTCTAGGGCAGAGACTGTGCCCTGTCTCCATCTCTAGGGCGGAGATTGTCCTGTGCCTGCAGCCAGAGCCGCAGCAAAACCTCTGCACAACATCTCCATCCAAACCCGTGGCATGGGAGAGGGGACTGGACTGCAGGAAGCTGATAGTGCCTGCAATAAAGGTCCCTGTCCTTGGGATTTTCCACAGTTGCTTTGGAGTGCCAAGCAGTTGGAAATAAGCTGGGGAATGATTATTTGAGTCAAGAGAGGCTGAGAAGAGGGAAAGGATCGCCGCTGTCTCGGTTGTGCAAAGCGGCGATAGGAGAGCCCCACTCTCTTGCTGTTCAACTCTGGGGTTTGTAATTCCTGAAAAAACTGCCTCAGCCTGATCCTGTTCCAGCTCTGTCCAGGGAAAGAGGGATAATGCTGGCTGGTTGCAGCTGGAATGGGCTCCAGGAACATTTCTGGGTTTGATCTCCATAAGTGAGTGCTCCAACAGAGTCACAGTCGTTCCTCATTTTCAAAAGCTGCTGTTCAAGTAACACAGCTTTGAGAAGTGCTTGAATTCTTGTCTGCAGAAATTTGCACCAAATGAGCAAAATTATGTGTATTTCTGGGAGCAGCATGGAGATGGGGGGGGTGGAAAGGAATAGAGGCCTTTAATAATGATCCCTCTCTTAATTCTGAAAGCTCAGTGCTAAATAGAGAGGGCCTTTTACAAACATGAAATTGAGAATATGAAAACCTCTGAACACAATAGTGAAAAAATTTAGGAATCATTAAAGTTGCAATAGTTATAAACTACATGAGCAAATCCAACTTTAAATTACCAAGGAAAGCACTGAGCTCAGTTTGCAGTTGAAAACCAACATCTGTTCTGCTGAAAGACAACAGAAAAGGGGAGGAGGGCTTAAAGACAGTTCTCAAAATGGTTGCAAATTTATTATTGAGTCTTTCCTCCTGGAAATCAGCCCTGGTAGCAGCAGTGACATTGCAATGAACTGTTCTGTTTGCCTTCCATAATTAAATAACTCTGTGATAGTCCCTCTACTTGGCTAATTTTAGCCTGGTAAATAGCTGGAAAATGCCAGCACTATTGTAACCAAGTTATTCAGCTGCAGAGGCAATGAAAACCTTCCCAGAGTGCTGGGAACTGAGTCCTTCATGTGTGCAGCACCAGCAGTGGAGGCAGCACGTTGGGCTGGGAGATGGAGGCAGAAAACCTGGGTTCTCTGTCCACAGCTGCCTATGACAGTAAAATTAGGTTTATCATAAATCACAGAATGATTTGGGGTGGAAGGGGCCTTAAAATGATCTTGTTCCACCCCATGCCATGAGCAGGGCCAAGGTTTCTGGTTTTGCTCAAATCCTCCCGCGAGGTTTTGGCCAGGAGCCCTTTGGGTCTGCCTGCCCTGCTTCCCTCGTGCAGGAATACCAGCCATGGATAATCCATAGGAACTCATTTTAGCCTCGTGTCTCACATCAGTCAGAAAGCAGAGCATCAGCCTCCTTCCTGCTCAATCAGGGCTGTGCAGCTAATTAGCTAATTACCAGCTTCAGGGGGCGTGCTGTGCTCCCTGGAGAAGGCTCTGCTGCCTTCTGCAGGACACAGAGCCTTGCTGGGGTTCCAGAGCTGAGCAGAGCACCCCAAAGGGAGGCAGTGTGTGGCTGCAGGGCCTGAGGGACATTCTGGGGGCCAAGGCTCCCCAGAAATGCAGGGAACTGCTGACAGGATGCTCAGTGTCCCATCAGCACTGCCAGAGTCCCCAGGGTCATCCTCAAGGACCAGCCTGGGGAGGGACTCTCTGAGGAATCTGCAGCAGCCCTGCACAACTTTCAGCATCTCCCCAGTTCCCAACAGGGCACAAAGCATTTAGGACATTTTTAATTCATGCAAAGCAGCGCCGTGTTGGAGAGCCCTGGTGACACATTTGTGCCTTTCCCTGCTGGAGCCCCTTTCCACTCATTTGGGGATTTACTCTCCCAATTTGGAGCGACAGTGCTTCAAGCATGTAGAATTAGCTGCAGAAAGTTACAAAATTGGGGCCACGGTCGGTATCTGTGTTGTCAGCCAGCGCCAGGAGCTGCAGCTCCTTACAAATCTTTCCTCCTTCAGCATAATTAGTTCACAGGTGGTGTCTTGGAAAGCCTTTGAAGATGTTGCTGAATTCTTAACGCTGACTAAACAAGTAACTGTGACAGGTCAGAGAGAATAATTGAGGAATCTTCTTTAATTAATGATTTCACATCTTATGAGGCACTTTTATAAAAATTGGAGTGGGAGAGAGAAGGACCTTAAGTTATTTAATTTTCTCAGAAACAAAAGCGTGTGTTTAAATGAGCACTTGGGCAGGTTGGACAACTCCTTGAACCCCAGTTGTTTCTCCCTGCTCTGCCTTTCTGCATATCTAACACATTTAATACGCCAGGATACCAAATAATACCTCATTTCAAGCAGGGTCTGTTTGTTCCGTGGGAAACCTGCCAACCCCTCCAGGTTTTCTCCTCTTATGCAGTCGCAAATCCCATTTAAATCAATCAGTGATTTTGTGTAAGGAGAACCTGCAGGGCTGGACTCTGAATTTCGGGGTTTGCAGTGCTCTTTCTTGCCATTATTTCTGTCTGTTGGTGAGGAAAGCAGCGTGTTCCTGCAGCTGGGGGGCTCTGCATGGCAGCAGGAGATGCTGGTGCAGCACCCCTGGAGCAGGGGAGAGCCTGGGGCAAGAGGCAGGGCCAGCTGGGCTTCACTGCCAAAACCCAGCTGCTCCTCCCTCTCCCTGCTCCTGCAATTCCTCCCAAACTATAAAGGGCTATGAAAAGGTGATCCACATTTTGGGCAGCAGATCCAGGATCATGGCAAGTTTAACTTCTAAATTCTGTTAGGAGCAGATGTGTGACCGTGTTCACAGGGGTTCTTGGATGGGGGAAGAGATGAGGATCTGATTCCATGGTTCAGAAGGCTGATTGATTATTTTATGGTATATATTACATTAAAACTATACTAAAAGAATGGAAGAAAAGGTTTCATCAGAAGGCTGGCTAAGGATAGAATAGGAAAGAATGATAACAAAGGTTTGTGGCTCGGACAGAGAGTCTGAGCCAGCTGACTGTGATTGGCCATTAATTAGAAACAACCACATGAGACCAATCACAGCTGCACCTGTTGCATTCCACAGCAGCAGATAACCATTGTCTGCATTTTGTTCCTGAGGCCTCCCAGCTTCTCAGGAGGAAAATCCTAAGGAAAGGATTTTCCATAAAAGATGTGTGTGACAGATGTGTGTTTGCTCCAAGAGCTTTTGATGTTTGGTGGCTGCTTTGGTGCCCCCCAAATCCCCCTCCTGGGATCCCATCTCCATCAGCTGCTGGGAATCACCCTCCAGCACCCAGCCCCAGAGCACCAGAGGTTCTCCTGTCCCAGTAACAGACACAGAACTGATACAGGGCTACCAGGCCTTGCTGTGAGTAGTTTGGCATCAAACGGGTGAATATCTCGAAAATACCAATATATTAAACCTCCTTGTTAGTCAGCTGACAGCTCTGCGTTCAGAGCACATTGTGGGCATTGCTGCTGCATGCCAGAGCCCAGGCAGGTGTGAAATTCAGGCAAAGCTGGTGTCTGCATGCAGCCAGCTCCGCGCACCTGCACCGTTAATTCTGGGTTTCTGTGGCCCAGCCACACTGGGAATTATCTCCTGGGGGAAATAGCTGCCTTCCAGTGCTGCAGTCACCTGCTGCTTCAAGCAGGTGAACTCTGTGCTCGTGAATCTTCCCGGGAAGGCACATCCTCCCAGTGAATGTGTGGAATTGGGTAAACATTCCTGTTTAAGCTGAGCGAGCGTCTCGGGGTGTGCTCAGTGACATTCAGCGTGCTCAGAGCCTGCATCATCATTCCAGCAGAATGTTTGAACACACTAAATCGTATTATTCACTGCTTGCTGAAGAGATGCATTATTTAATATCAAGAGAGCT